TCTAAAATCGAGAAACCGTTATAAAACCGTTATAAAATCAAAAACTATTTCGAAAAGAATAAAAAATTAAGAACTCTATAATAATAGTTAAGGTATATAAAGAAGAGTTAAATATTTACAAAATTAATTAATTTTAAATAAGACATATATTCGTTAATCCGAACTACGATACTATTCTACTCTATAAATCTTTATTACTCGACTAAATTTACTTAAGCTAAAGAATAGACTATTTAACTATATAAGATAATTTACGTAAATCTATTATTACTAAGATATCTATATAAATATTATTATTCTATTATTCTATTATTACTATCGTAATATGTTAGATTTCTAGATTTATCGTATTAAAAATTAATACGCTTTTTTAGAGAAACTAATCTACTATTATTCTACGAAAAGTATTATTAAAAATATATAACGTATTTAAAAAAATTTAGTATTACGATTATATAATTATATTACTAAGTAATCGTTAAAAGATAATAATTTTTACTAATTTAGTATAGATACGATTATCGTAACTTATAGCCCTCCGCTAAGGTAATAATTCCAATAGAATTCGAAACTATTCCGCTTCGTCCTCGATTCGAATTCATGAATCTCTCTCGTTAAAAAATCGTAAAATCGTAAAAATTATAAAATTCGTAAAATTCTATAAAAAATAAAAATAGAAAATAAAAAATAAGAAATAAATATAAACTATAATAGATATTAAAATTAACTTCTTATTAATTTAATTTCAAATTAATCTAAAGTTAATTATTCTATAAATTTATTATTAATATAACTTTTCTTTTTTCTATTAAAGTCTTTTAATTTTTTTTTAAATTATAGAATATAACTTACGCTTTTAAATAATCTATAATTTATAAAATTCGATTTTATAGTTCTAAGTAAATCTTAAATTAAAGTATTTTCACTCTTCGAGAGTCGGATTTAATCTCGAAATTAGATTTAAAAATTAATTACTTTTTATAAATTTAATTTATAAATTTAAACTTATATAATAGATTAAGATAAGACTAAGTTAAAAAATCTTAGATTCATATATATAGCTAATTATAAATTTAGAATTACTACGCTTTTTAATTAGACATTACGAGTAAATAAATTAGCGTTCGTAACTATTAAAATCTCGTACTCTACTTTTAACCCTTTAATAACTTTACTATTTTCTATTAAAATTTTAAGATTTATTTTTTTAAATTATAGAGTATAGATTGAGCGTTCTAATGATTTAAAAATTCTGAAATTTAGTTTTATAGTTCTTCAAAGGCATAGGATTTAGATATCGCTTACTAAAGTTCGCTTACCAAATTTACTCGACAGCCGATAGCCCTTATTAAAAGAAATAGATATACGTTATTTAAATTAGTATATATAATAGAATAAGATAGAACTAAGCTAAAAAATATTAAATTTATATATATAGTTAATTATTAAGTCGAGTTCGTTACGCTCTTTAATTAGATCGACTAAGTTAGTTCGCTAGCCCTTTCGAGACCTCTTATTAAAAAAATAGATATATATTATTTATAGATAGAATAACTTTTTTATTTTCTATTAAATTTTTAAGATTTTTTTTTTAAATTATAGAACGTAGTTTACGCTTTTAAATAAAAAAAGAATTCTTAAATTTAGTTCTATAATTATTAAAGCGTAAGAAATTTAAATATTACTTATTAAAGTTCGCTCGACAGACTTAATTAAAAAATAAATATATATTATTTAATTTTAGAATAACTTTTTTATTTTCTATTAAAATTTTAGAATTTTTTTTAAATTATAGAACGAAATTAACACTTTTAAATAAAAAAAGAATTCTTAGATTTAATCTTATAAATATTTAAAGATAGAGGATTTAAATATCGCTTATTGAAAACTTTAAACTTATATACTCTATTAAGAATATTCTTATATATAAGCTTAGATAGTCGAGTAATAATAATTTTAATAAAATTCGAAACTATTTCGCTTCGTCCTCGATTCGAATCCGTAAATCTCCCTCGCTAAAAAATCGTAAAATTATAAAAATCGTAAAAATCGTAAAATCGTTAAATTCGTAAAAATTCTAAAAATTCTAAAAATTCTAAAAATTCTAAAAATAAGAATAATTAATATAGATAAACTATAATAGATATTAAAATTAACTTCTTATTAATTAAATCTAAACTAATTTAAAGTTAATAAATACTTTAGAAACTTATTATTAATATAACTTCTTTTTTTTCTATTAAAATTCTTTAACTTTTTTTTAAAATTATAGAGTATAACTTACGCTTTTAAATAAAAAAGTATTCATTAAATTCAGTCTTATAAGTATTTAAAGATAAGAAATTTAAGTATTACTTATTAAAAACTTATTTACTCTATTAAGAATATTCTTTAATAAAACTCGAAATTATTTCGCTTCGTTCTCGATTCGAATCTACCTTATTAATCTCTCTCGCTAAAGAATTCTCAAATTCTAAAATTCTAAAATTCCAAAATTCTAATAATTATAAAATCGTATAAATTATTAAAATTATTAAATGAATAAAAATTTTATAAACTATAATAATAATAATAAATATAAATAAACTATAATAGATATTAAAATTAACTTCTCATTAATTAAATATAAATTAATTTAAAGTTAATTAAGTCTCTAAGAAACTTATTATTAATATAACTTCTTCTTTTTCTATTAAAATTTCAAAATTATTTCTATTAATTATAGAATATATTTTATACTTTTTAATAAGTTAAAATTTATAAAATTCGATCTTATAGTTCTAAGTAAATCTTAAATTAAAGTATTTTCACTCTTCGAGAGTCGAATTTAATCTCGAAATTAGATTTAAAAAGTAATTACTTTCTATGAATTTAATTTATAAATCTAAACTTATTTGAAATAACTTTTTTATTTTTAAATAAAATCTTTCGAATTTTCTTTTAAATTATAGAACGTAATTCGGACGTTTTAATAATTTAAGAATTAAAAAATTTAAGTCTTATAATTATTTAATAGCAAAAAATTCAAATATCGCTTATTAAAGTTCGCTTATCAAATTTACTCGATAGTTCTAATTAAAAAAAATAGATTATAAATTTAATTTATAAATCTAAACTCGTAGTAATTAAAAGAAGATAATTAAGGATTTCTTAAATTTAAATAAATAAGTAAAAAAAAAAGATATTTATAAAGATTACTCGCGTATTAGAAAGAAGATTATTAAATTAAAAGATATTCTTATAAAAATAAAATAAAAGTTAATAGTATTATTAAATACGAGTAAAGGCCTATAAATTAAATTCATAACCATTTTTTTTAATTAGGGCTGTCGAGTAAATTTGATAAGCGGTCTTTGATAAGCGAACTTTAATGAGCGATATTTGAATTCCTTGCGCTTTAATAATTATAAGACTAAATTTAGAAATTCTTCTTTTATCTAAAAGCCCACATTTCGTTCTATAATTTAAAAAAAAATCTTCAAAATTTAATAGAAAATAAAAAAGTTATTCTATATGTTAATAACGTACACCTATTTTTTTGATAAGGGAGACGCGGAAGGGAGAGATTTTGATGGTTGCGGACGCTAATTTATTTACCCGCGATGACTTAGCTAGTCTAGCCAAAAGGCGTAATAACCTCAAATTTATGATTGGCTGCACATATAAATTCAAGGTTTTTAAGCTTAGCTCTATCTTATTCTACTATATATATTAATATTAATAATAATAAAAAATTCTATAATATAATTAATTTACTCTTAGTCTCGTATTAAATCGCGTTAAGACTTATTAAGAGAATTAAAAAGATTATATCTTTTTTTATTAATATAGAAAAGTTAATATTATTATTAAATATTAGAAAATCGATAAAAAGAGAAGTAGATATACTCTTAAAGTAGTAAAAATAATTATACGATATAAAGAAAACGTATTTATAAAGAAAGATAATTCTTTAATTAATATAAGCTAGTTAATATCTAAAAGCTATAAAAGAAAAAGCTAAAGAAAACTATATCTCGTTAAGTTACGCTAAGAACGTAATATCTATTTTATCTTTTTATCTTTTTTAAATATTAAAGTGATATTAAAACGATTATAGATATATAATTAATACTAGAGTAGAAAACCTCTGTTTAATATTATAATATCATGAAGTCTGTAATTATAAAAGTGCGAATCTTATAAACTGCATTTCCGAGTAGGAAGGTCCACTAGCGCCTTGACGTTTGTGCTTTTTCCCCACGTGAATTCTCCCCACAAGCCGCGTGGTACCTGCGTCAGATCGTCGACGGCGAGCATGCTCACATCATTCATGTGCTTGATAACTCTTTGACATTGACTTCTCATACGAAATTGGAGAGCTTTGACAATTTCTCATGTATTTGTCCTTCGATTTTCTCCAGCGCACGGGGGCTTTCAAGAATAGTAGCATTGTTGACGAGAGTCGTGGTACGAGAGTTGGACAGGCATGAAATGAATGCGCATTGAAGGGAGTCGAAGATCTGGAATAACAGAGAGCGCGCGGTGGTGCGTTTTGTTAGAGCTCGTGCTTTTTCAAACAAGCGGCTTGGCATTCCGCGAAACCATATCCTGCCGGTCTCAGCCCGAGGGCCACTCTACAACACCCGCCTTCTCAGCCTTTGCCATACAAATAATCATCTCTTCGCGCTCTGGATCGCTGTCTAATGTGCTCAGATTCTCTGTGGTATCTACCATTTCCATGATCTGAACCTCAACTTCCAATCTTACTCGTACCCGAATCCGTCTTCCAACTACTCACCCTCGCTCATTTTACTCATCCGTGGCTTTCGTTGCTATGTTTTCCTAGTAGCTTAAGCCAGAGTACCCAAGTCAAGTGACATTCGCTCGACGAAGATGCGATGCGAAACCTCTCTCGGAGATCTCAAAACTTCAGCTAGAAACCCTAACACAGGTGGCACAAACTAGGAAAAGGCTATCTAACCCAGACCTGACCGGCCCATCGCTGGGTCTTTCACATAATGCCTCTTCGACACAAGCGGAAAGGCGACATCGATCCAACCAAGTCTGATTCCGAGGATGAAACATACGGCACATCGGCCTCGAAACCGCTCAAGTCAAGATCGTCTAAAGCCCACCAAAATAGCGCTTCGCGAAAGAAGCGGCGTAGAAACTACAGCGGTGACGATTCCGATGACTCTGATGTAATTGAGGAGAGCGAGTTGAGTGGTGGGCTGTCTGCAGAAGATGACATTGAGGACGAAGCGCCAGAGATCGGACCGAGTGGACGGCCAAGGCGAAAGGCGGCCAAGAAAAAGCCGGTATACGAAGAGAGTGATAGTGAAGATCTTTCGGAAGGGATACGTGAGACTAGGGTCGAAGATGAGGATGGCACACCAAAGAAGAAACGAGGCAAACCTTCACTGGTCATAAAGCTCAGGACTACGCCTCGGCAAAATGCTGCACAACCTAGAAGAAGCACTAGAGCTCGCAGCGGTAGCATTGGAGCCTCGAGACCTACATCATCTCACATGCAGACTTCAGCGACGCGGAAAAGTAGTCGAATTGCGCAGGATGAGACAGAAGCCGTTGTAGCTCTAACGAACTCGGGCCATCACGTCGATGTCGTACGTCCTGGAACGCGAAGCCCTCCAACAGTGAGGCCTACGAAAGGTGGCAAAGGTGTTAAAAAAATGCCCGCCAGCATCGTGTACGAAGAAGACGAAGAGAGCTCAACAAGGACGAAAGAGCATTTCGATACTGATGAGCTCCAGGACGAGGGAAACCGACTCGAAGTCGCTGCCAGTCGAGAACATCTAGGTAACAAGGACGAACACCCTCAAGCGCACTCTACAGCAGCGACTAAAAATTCACGGCCAGAAGAATTAGACATAATCCAAGCCGACAACGAAGTTGCTGTCATTCCTGAGTCTGAAGACGATGGCCCCCAGGATGAAGATGATGAAGACCCAATAAACAAACCTGGCCGGAACCTAAGGCGACGTGGAAGCAAGCGTATAGCAAATAGTGCCGATGAAGCAGCAAGCCGTTCAGGTGGTCGATCGACACGCCATGCTGTACGATCAACCCTTGGTAAGCGCAAAACTCGAAGTTCTCAGAGAAGCGGTCAGCAAGAAAGCAGTGACTTTGAGCCCGGAGTCGAGGAAGGCGGTGAAGAAGATGTCTCAGATTCAGAAGCTTTGTCTGGCTCTCCACGTAAGGCTAGTAGGCAGCATGACGAAGATGACAGTACTCCTGCTCGGAGAGGTCCGAAACGTCGAAAGATCAATCCTCGCAGTCAACGAGTTTCCGACGAGCACGATAGCGAAGTTGCCGAAGAGCTCGCAGAGGAGTTGGATGAATTACGAGGAAGCCGTTCTCGTCGAGCTGCCAGAACGGCGGGCATCCTCTACGACGAAAAACCCAAGACACGGCAGCGAAAGCCTGTAGATTATCGTATTCTGCGGCCGGACCTTGCTTTAACGTTAGACGATGATGGGGAACCATCGGCAACAACTCCATCTCGAAGAGGACGTGGTGGCGCAGGCGGAACTTGGCAGAGAAGTCTTTTCTCGACGTACGGCCCGTTTGGTGGCGCAGGCGGTCCCCCTCCAGTATTCGGTGGTCCAGGAGGCATTGGCGCTGTCGCTGGTGCGGATTCTGACAGCAGCGATGACGAGATCGCGCAGCGTTCACGACCCGCTGGTATTGGAGGAGCTGTTGGCATGACGCCGACTACCGCACACCCCGCCGGCCCGAGCCTTTTTCCTCCGCCTCCTGGTCAACTGCACGGTGCTGATCCTCTCCAAGGGCCTTCTGGAACTCCTGCGAACCTCGGGAAGGTTAAGGAAAAACAAGCTCTCGCGGATGCGGATCCTCTGGGAGTCGATCAGAATGTAAATTTCGATGCCGTTGGTGGTCTGCAAGGCCACGTAGACCAGCTAAAGGAGATGGTCGCTCTACCTCTGCTCTACCCGGAGGTCTTTCAACGGTTCCACGTGACGCCGCCTCGAGGTGTGCTGTTCCATGGACCACCCGGAACTGGTAAAACATTGTTAGCAAGAGCCCTTGCCAACAGTGTCAGCTCACAAGGACGAAAAGTAACTTTCTATATGCGTAAAGGCGCAGATGCTTTGAGCAAATGGGTAGGTGAGGCAGAACGTCAGCTTAGACTCTTGTTTGAAGAAGCACGCAAAAACCAGCCAAGTATCATCTTCTTCGACGAGATTGACGGTAAGCAGCGCCGCACAGGATGTACTGTTTGCCTCTTACTGACGCCGACGAAGGCCTTGCACCTGTTAGATCTAGCAAGCAGGAACAAATTCATGCTTCCATAGTTTCGACACTGCTGGCCCTTATGGATGGTATGGATGGTCGAGGCCAAGTCATTGTCATTGGAGCCACCAATCGCCCCGATTCAATTGATCCTGCCCTCCGTCGACCCGGTCGATTCGACAGGGAATTCTATTTCCCTTTGCCAAACACGGAAGCCCGACGAAGCATAATCGACATCCATACAAAAGGCTGGGATCCTCCGTTGACTTCTACTTTCAAGAATGAAATTGCAAAACTGACCAAGGGATACGGCGGAGCTGATCTTCGTGCACTATGTACAGAAGCAGCTCTGAACGCAGTGCAAAGAAGGTATCCGCAGATATACAAATCCAACGAGAAACTCCAAATCAGGCCAGAGACGATCAACGTCGCAGCCAAAGATTTCATGATTTCTGTGAAAAAGATGGTCCCATCATCCGAAAGATCCGCGTCGTCTGGCGCGGCACCTTTGCCAGAGCAGATCGAGCCTCTGCTACGAGATCCACTTGCCGATATTGAGAGTCTAGTGGCTGATATTCTACCCCAGAAAAAGCGGTTAACGGCCCTTCAAGAAGCCGAATTTGAAGATGCAGAAGACGATCGAGGCATGGTGGTGGAACGCATGCAGCAAGGTATTTGACAACCTTCCCCCCTTCCCCACCGGGCATACCTTAGTACTGAACCGTGACTAGAATTCGAGCGGTCTCGTGTTTTTCGGCCAAGGCTGCTTATCAAAGGCGCACCTGGCATGGGACAACAGTACCTTGCTGGAGCTCTGTTGAACCACTTCGAAGGCCTGCACGTGCAATCATTTGACCTTCCCACGCTTTTGAGCGACTCGACAAGGGTATGATGGGCTTGCTCCGGCTGGCATCTCCTAGCTAACAATGCTGAAGTCACCGGAAGCTACCGTAGTGCAGCTTTTCACCGAAGTCCGACGACATAAGCCAAGCGTTATCTATATTCCAAACGTGGACACCTGGTACGGAACAGTGGGGAAGCCCGTCATCTCGACATTTCTTAGTCTCCTACGGACGTTGGCCCCCACAGACCCAATCTTACTTCTCGGAATCGTAGAGTGTGATGAGCGGGACATTGATCGGGAAATGATCAAGGATCTGTTTTACTTTTCGAGAAAAAATCAATATGATATCCCGAGACCATTAATGGTAAGCTTTGGTGAGCCGGATTATGCAATTATTTTGCTCATATGCCATTAGCCATCCCGCCACGAATACTTCAATGCTGTCATAGATCAACTCAACGCCTCTCCAGCTGATTTTCCAGAGCCTGCGAATCGGAAGAAGAGGAGGTTCGAAGTCCTTATGCCCGTCCCCCCTGAACCACCCAAGGAGCCGCCAGCTCCTACCAAAGCAGAGCAAAAGGCGCAGAAGAAAAAGGATAGGCTACATCTCAACCTGTTGAAACTCCGTATACAGCCAATTATGGACCAGATCAAACTAAGGTACAAGAAGTTTAGGACTGGGGTGATTGATGAAACCCAAATAAGATACTTGTATGAGGAGGAAGACCCAAACATTATCACCACAGACTTACCGCCAGAGGAGCGGCAACCAGACCCATCGCGGCCCTTTGAGAAAGCCACAGATGATCACGGCGAGCCCGGACTGATCAATGAAGCATCAGGCAAATTTTTTTACAATATGGAGATAGTCACCATTGAAAAGCGTTTGTCGAACGGTTACTACAAGAGGCCTAAAGACTTTGCGTCAGACATTAAGAAGTTAGCCAAAGACGCCAAGGCAATCGACGATCAGGACCGGCTCATCAAGGCAAATGAGCTCCAGGCTAATGTCGAGGTGGACATGGAGAATATTGCAGTACAAGAACCATGGCTAGCAGCCGAGCTCGAAAACGTATACGTCCGAGAGACCAAGCGAGAACGAGAAATGGTGGAAAAGGCTAAGCGACTCGCTGCGGTAGAAGGGCGGGAGTTGGCTATCATTCCATCAAACGTGCCGCCGGGTGATATTGGGGCATCGGCGACGGAGCATTCAGTTGGTCCAATTGTGCTTGGACAGCCCCTCATAAACGGTCTAACAACCCATCATCCGACAACACCCTCTAATCCATCGCAGCCTAGTACGCTTACGAACGGCTTGTCTGCCGGACTCTCAGATCTTAGCAATCTCCACGGACATCATCAGAGTAACGGTACTTCCGTACCTTCTCGCGGCGAGGGCAATATTCATACATCTCCTAGTGATGATGCACCATCTACCGAAAGAGAGACTCAGGGCAGCTCGTTCGGACCTTCTGCTCAAACTCGCCCTCTGGGTTCCTATACTGGGGGCCCTGCTTCTATTGACCAGCGAAGATCAATACCCGGAAGCCTCTCTCAGAAGAGTCTGATTACGCCCTTAGCTGAAGGCTCAAATTTGGCCGACTATACAAATTATGCATCAACCACCTCGTCAGATAAGAGGAATACGGGATCGTCTGCCGACAAGAACACCCAAAGCACAACAGGCAAGATTGAGGGACCAGATTTCTCCGCTTTCCCCGACACAGCGGAAGCGAACTCTCAGCTTCCTGACACTCGAGGTAACACTCAAGGTACGCGAAAGCTTTCTTCCATGTCAAACATAGCGTTTGCTGCACAAGTCTGATCTGCTAACGTTTCTAGCTTCCCAATCATCTGCCCTCCCCAACAGCAACCCTAGCGATCCTTCTAGCTCCCAAGGTCAGCTTTCTCAACCGGAGCGCTTGTCACAAACGCCGGCGGTGCCATTGTTTCATCGCGATAGAACCGACATCAATTCCATTCTCAACGACCCCGTTCCTGGTGCCTCTAGAGCCCTCGCTACTCTTCAACCCCAACTGATAATTGACCAAGCGCTCAGCGCCAATCTGCTTCACAATGTTGTTGCCCAGACAAGTGGCTGCAGTATTGAACAACTGGAGCAAGTCTATTCGGCATTGATGAATGAAATCTGGAGGACCAGAGGGGAATGGGACAGGGGGAAAGTGGCCCTTCAGTTGAATAGAGTCTTTGCGGATGTTATGGCGGACATCCACTCATGTCAGGGATTGGCCGCAGGGAGCATGGAAATCGAAAGCTGAATGTGAAGCCAATTCCGCCGAGACTCGAAATGGAAAGAAAAGGCTGACGATCCATGAAGTTGTTAGTCAGAGGTGAGACTAGATAGCAACAGTTCACTTATTGGATAGAAGCGAGGCGTCAGGGATTTTAACGCATGGAGCGAGACTCACATGGTAAATATTATGGGTAGCTTTAGCCTAGGACTGTGCTGTGTCTGAGTAACAACAATTTCACTAAACAATACTCTCATGGATCTGAAAAACACAATAATACATCTCAAACATGCTCAGTGTTTCAATCTTCAACGAGGCTTTTACGAACCTGAGCATCTTCAGGCGCCCTCCCTTAGATCGCCTAATTTATCCACCCAAGCTGTAGGTACAATCTTCCCATCCTCCCAATCCTGTTTCCCCTTCGTAACACCCGTAAGCACACACAACGTTCCACCCAAGCCCCCCTCGATCCCAAACTGGATATCGGTGTCCAGCCGATCCCCTATCATGCAGGCTCTTTGCCTGTCGAATTGGAATTTCCCCTCAATAGCATCCATCATGGCTTGACTCGGTTTGCCCAGACTCGTCGGCTGTTTGCCTCCCAGCATAGCCACCAAAGGTGCTGAGCAGGCACCTGCGCCAGGAAACAGAGTGGATGATGAGGGTAAGGTGGTGTCAATGTTTGTAGCGAGGAAGACGGCGCCGTGGCGGAGATAGTGGAAGGCCAGGCTGAGCTTCAGATAGTTAAGGTGGAAATCAAGACCGCACAATACCACGCCGACAGAAGGGTCTAGAGATGTCCCGGATGCAATGTCGGCGTAATCGTCTTTCCCTATCAGCCGATTTAAGAGAGGGTCTGTACCGCCGATGCGGGGAACCTTTTCGCCGTCGAGCTCAGTCTCTATACCCGCTTCGCCAAGAACAAAGACGGTTTTCTTGTTCGAAGGCAATTGGAGGATGCGGGAGATGTAGATTGCGGCGCTATAGGAAGAGCCAAAAACTTCATCCTAGTCGCCTTCACTTGAGCGAAGGAGCACGGGACTCTCAACAGAGAGACGTACAACAGTAGCCGGGATTCCCATGCTTGTAAGCTTTTGCTTGTAGTCGGCGCGAGACTTTGTGCTGTTGTTTGTGACGAAGACGACTTGCTTGCCTATGCAATGGTCAATTTGAATTTTTCAGTGAGGCCTATCGGAGCAGATTCGACCTTTACTGCGCAGCAGCTCGAGGGTCTCGACTGTTCCTTCGAATAGATGCTCTCCAGACCATAAGACGCCTATCCTTCTATATCTTTAGATTCGTCGCTCAAAATGCGACTGGTCCAGGCTGCCAATGGACGAGTCAAGATATTGCGAAATTGTGGGTGAGCACACACCATCGCAGTCAAACAGGAAGACCTGACAGTCCCATGAGCGAAAGGCAATGACACCTTCAGAGACCGGATAAAGACGTTGAGAGGCAAGGACATCGTCTCTTGACTTACATCGAATCTACTTATGAATTCCTCTATACCCTCTTTATTGCCAGTGAGGTACTCGGCCTGGGTAACCATTGTAACGTTGAAAGATACCGCTACCCAATCGATGAGGGTCGATGGGCTTGTGGATGGAGGTTATTGAAAGCATGGAGAAAGAGGGCACTGGTGGGCGAAAAAAATGCCTGGATTCCTAGCGGAAGAGAACCCTAATCGTGTCTACCCCCATTTGCGCCCATTTTAAATCCGATAAATCCGACATAGATAGCTACCACTACCATGGCTACCACGGGTCCCAACTCGTCAGCTGCAGTAGGCGTAAACTTACGGTCCGGCACGTTAGAGGAGCCAAGAGATCTCAAGGGAGCGTACATTTACACATGGGTGTATAAGCGAATTCTTCGATTACGACAACACTCAACTACGTATAAGCGAAAATCGGATAATAAGACGCGTCAGATCGAGAGTTAATGCGTTTCCCTCGAAGAATTCGATATCATCGATATAACGGCAAGCCCTACTCCTCTCAATCGACTTATATCTTTCTCTCTCGCTAATCGATAACTCTTTTCTAAATATTATAAATATTTAACTTTAACTATAGATAAGTTAACTCGTTTATAAGAATTATATTAAGATTTTTTATAAAAAAGAGATTAAATAAGAGAGCTAAATTTAATATATTTAAAAAATATTCTTTTAATAGCGAAGTTAATAAGTAATAAGTAATAGTTATATATCTTTTAATCAGCTATTAATATATAAAATAAATCTCGATTAAATTTAATATCTTTATAAAAATTAAAGAAAGAGCTTAATTCGAATAATTTTAACTTCGATTTAATAAATATTATTACTCTCTCTCTTATATAACGATATATAAAGTATTTAAATATATATAAAATAGAGAGATTAAAGCTTAACTTTAAGTAATATTAAGAAAGAAGCTTTAAGAGTATATTATAGAGTATAATAATATCTAATTATAATAAAAGCTTTAAAATTTCTTAATATAATATATAAGTTTAGGTCTATAAATTAAATCTATAATTTTTTTTTTTTTTTTCTAATATCGAGATTAAATTCGACTCTCGAAGAGTGAAAATACTTTAATTTAAGATTTACTTAGAATTATAAGATTAAATTTTATAAATTTTAGATTATTAGAAATCGTAGAATAAATTCTATAATTTAAAAGAATAATAGTAAAATTTTAATAGAAAAAAGAGAAGTTATATTAATAATAGATCTCTAGAGAATTAATTAACTTTAAATTAAATTAAATTTAATTAATAAAAAGTTAATATTAATATCTATTATAGATTTTTCATTTTAATTATTATTTTAATTAATTTTATAATTTATAGAATTTATTAAAATATAAAGATAGGATACTTAGTTATATTAACTATAGAGTTTTATAAAAGAAAAGAGCGACTTAATATAGACGCGCTAAGGCGTGTTACGTGATATAGTTATATAATCGCTAAGACGCTAAGAGTCACGTAATTCGAATTTCAATACTCCCCTTCGCATATATTCTTTTATAAGCGAAACTTAGTAGACTCGAAGTTTAATATTTTTAATATTAAAATCGAGTAGATATTAGATTTAATACTGTTATAGACCTTAACGCTACTTATATTAAGGCCTCGATATCGTATATATTACGTTAAGATTTCTTTTAGAATTTAATTTTAATAATATATCTTATATATCTAGAGACTTAGCGAATATAGATTTATTTTATATATCTCGAAATTTTAATATTTCTTAGAGATTAGTTCTACTATTAAATATATTATTTAACTTTATAATAACTTTATATCTTTTATAGTCTATATTTATTAGCTAATTATTAATAAATTACACTTTTATAATTCTAATCCCTCTATCTTTTAAAGAAAAAGATTTATTATTATTATAATATTAGATTTATCTTTAAATTATATAATAAATAATAAAGATAATATTAATAGTCGTTATAGCGTTAATAACTAATTCGAAAAAAAATTATTTATAAAAAAATTTATTATAAAGTAATATCTTATAGTTATTAGAGTTAAAAATTATTATTTAAAATAAAAAATAAGAGTTAACTACGTTAAAGATCTATAATTATAAACTTTATAATATTAACTTATTATTTATAATTAGCGAAGATTTATCTATATTAATTACTATTATATTTTTAGCGAATATATTAATTAAAGCGAAAATACTTTATTTTAAAAGAATATATTCTTATAAGAGTATTAATAAGAGAGAGTATTTACGCTAATTCTATAAAGTCGAAATTAAGTTTTTTATAAATTTTAAATATTTTATTATTAATTAAGCTAGAATTATTTATTATATATAGTTCTTAGAAAACGATTTTAATATCTAATAATATAAATATTATTAAATCTATAATCTAAGAAATATAATTTTCGAATTTTTTAAGTAGTTTCTATTTAATTTAATTACGAATCTAATAAATCGCTATTTTCTCGCTTACGAAAAATAAGAGAAAGCTAAATATCGCTTTAATTAGAAGATATTTATTTTTAAAATCTATTTAAAGAAGCTAAAGATTTATTTACTCTTATTTTTTAAGAAGTATTAAATTTTTTTTTTAACTAAACTTAGATTAAAGCTTAAAAATAAGATTTTAAATATTAATAGTATATCGAGATAATAAAAAGAAATTCTTATCTAGATTATTATATAGAAAAAGATTTTAAAACGTATACGCTTTAGCGATGATTTCTATTCGAAGTTTTTAAAAGGATTTATTAAAAATAAGCTTTTAAAGAAGCGAATTTTAAAATTTAAATTAATTTTAAATAACGATATTAAAGTAGCGCGTATTTAAGAGAATAATATAAAATATAAAGTTAAATTTTTTAATTCTAATTATAAAAAGAATAATTATTTCTATTATAATAAGTAGAATTATTAAATATCTAAATATCTAAATCTTAATAAATTATTTATTATTAATATCGATATAGTATTAATAAAAAAAGATTAAGTCTTATAATCGCCTTAAAAGCGAGATAAGAATAATAATTAATAGAGATAATTTCTTCTATTTTTATAAAGAGATAAATAAAGCTTTAAAGCGAATAAAGATAACTCGTTACTCTACTCGATATTAAAGTATATATTAATTTAATTTTATAAAAATTCGTAATTTAATAAGATTTAAAATCTTATAATATTATTTTATTATAATTAAAAGCGCTAAGCGATTAAAGTATATATTATTATAGCGCGTATTAGTTAAATTATTAATTAATAAATAATTAGAATTAAAATAAAAAGTATAATATACTCTTCTATATTATTAATTAAAAAGACTTTAATATTATATTAAATATATTTAAATTAAATTAATTATAAATATTATTAAATTTAATAATAAAGTAATAAGAATTTAAAATTAATACTAGTAAATTATAGATTAAAGAATTAATTAAATTTATTCGAATTATTAAATAAAAGTTAAATATATTTATAATTATATATATCGCGATAGCGTAAAACGAATTAAAAAATAAATATAGTT